CAACCTTCTTCATGAAATGGATACAGCTCAACAATCGTTACTCCAAAACGAAATAAAGCCAAGGAAAACCATACGGACTAGAAGGAGACTCAAACGGAAACCCGGACTAGCGACTTCGACAGGCGACGAAAATCCAAACGCATCTGTTCCGATTTCTTTTAGCCGATTTCAGCAGATCTTTTGGCTCATTTTGGGTGGTGTTAGGGGTGGATTTTATGGCTGTTTACAACAGATTTTTGCTGCTATTTTAGAGGTCGTTTTGACTAAAAACAACGGAGCTATTTTCAAACTTGTTTTGATGTGTTTTGAACAGATTTTTGATGGCTGAATTACTGGAGCTTCAAGGCTGGTCTTGATGGTGAAAGTTGTCTTGTTGTTGGAGTGTAACATAGGTGAGTTGGAAAGGGATAAAGTGAGAGGGGACACAGAAAAATGGGGGACAAAAGAAGGTGGGATGGGAATATGGGAATAGTGGGATGAGGTACCGGTGTGGGGGCGAGGGAAAGTGAAAGTGAGGTATTGACGAGATAAGTGGGAAAAGTGGGAATAAATTCAAATAGGGTCAAAAATTAGGTGTCAACATCAACCAACTCAGTTCTGTTGTTGTCTGCCATTGCCTTTTGACTTTATGTTGCATAGAAGAGTTATCACTTTAAAACCACAAACCAACCACCCTTCTGCTATGAATATAACAAAATGAAGCCATCACATTAGCGTTAGGGCATTTAACATAAGATAATCTCACTTTATGTGCAATGCACCTAGCCACAGTTATCGGTTCTAAAATGACTTCGAGGGTACAAAGGTCAGTTGGCATTATCCCAATTTGTTCATTTCAACCTCTCTTTTCTTTGCTTTTCTAGCACTTGCTGGCTTGCCCATTTTCCTTCATTTCTCTTTTTTTAATCATCACTCTTTCTTTCTCTCATATCTCACATCCCATAATTTCACCTCTTTTTTTTGTTTCCTTCTTTTTTTCCTCTTTTTTTTCTTTTTTTTTTCTTTTAATAATAATAAAAATGATTCGATCGAACCCTATGTAGGTTGCCTACATATCATGACGCCGCATGAATCAGATCTTTGCGTAGTTCGGGAAGATCGGGAATAAAGGAAACAAACTAACATTCTCTTCTTTTTACCTTAATGACTACTCTGACGAGAAAAGGGAAATAAAAGAAACAAATCTCTTTTTTTTTGAATTTTCTAGACTTAATGTTCTATAACCTATTCTAAACTCAAGCTTAACGTTTGTACAAAAGTTATTAAAGAAAACCCTTAGAAGAGAAAAAATATTTTTTGATTCGTTTTTTTTAAGAAGGAAATCTAAAGAATAAACCATAGAAACATATTTTGAATTTTCATTTGATATCCTAACACGATATTTCGAAATGAGCAATGAAAAAGATAAAACAAAATGCTTTTGGATTTCAATTTTGATTACCTAAAGAAGAAATTCTAACGATAAACAAAAGATAAAGTATTTTTTTTATGTACAATATCCTAAAGTTTTAATGAAAATAAAAAGAATTTTTTTTCATTTTTCACTAATTTCCCAAAGAAACACCTCAAAAGAAAATCTTTTTGGATTTTGGAATTAACACCTTAAAGAAAGCTTTTAAAAAAGTACTAAAAGAAAATTCTCTTTTTTTTTTGAATTTTGGTCCTAATATACTAAAGGAAACATAAAAAAAATTATTTTAAGTCCTAGATATTAATTGCCTAAAGGAAAAACAACCTCAAAATTTTTTCATTTCTACCATTAGTATTCTAAAGAAAACTTATAACGGAAATATAAAATGCAACATCTCTTTTATTTATGGATTTTGAGTTACAACATATTTTTTCAAATATAAAGCAGAAAATACAATAACAAAATACTTTGACATTACTGTACAAAACTAGAAAGTAAAAGACGACATAAAATGAAGAACAAACTCAAAACATAAAAATAAAACAAATCTCCTTAAGCAACTCCTGACTGAGCGATCCTGACTGGATGGTAACGGGGAATCTGTCATGCTCAAACTCCAGTAAATAAATCCATACCTGTATGAGAAAACTGAAACCATCACTATGAGAGACAATAACATTTCCTACTAGACACATGCAAGACATGGTTGTGGCTATTTTTGCAAAATGGCTTATTTGGCCAAAAGATGGCTAGAAGTGCATAATATGGCTAAGACCCCGCAACGCCAAAAACCTAAGATTTACTAGGAAGATCGGACCCTATGTGGGTTGCCTACGTATCACGCCCCGAAAGACAAGAATCAGGTATGCGTAGTTCGGGCCGATTGGATACGGGCAAGAATTTAAAAAAAACGCTAATTTTAAAGAAAATATTTTTTTTCTTTTTTTTTTTGAAAAATGATGAAACATGTAAACTCTTTTTGAATTTTCTTTTTTCATTTTTTTTTATTTTCGAAAAATGATGAAAAAGTGCAAAATCTTTTTGAAGTTTCCATGCTCTTTTTTTCTTAATAAAATGTAACACAAAAAAAAATTGGGTCCTACTCGCTTCACCCTCTTTTTTCTTCTTTTTTCATTTGCCCTCAACTATCATTGGTCCGCCAAATGACCCTTTTACCCTTGAAGAAATGCAACATGTAGCACATTGGATGCATCAAGATGGTCTGTTATTTTGGGTACACATGTCCTAGACTGACCCAACCCCTGTGTTGAGTCCCCTAAGTCAAATGCATGTGATGCAAACAAGCACTCCTACTAGGAATCTGGCATGAAGCTATGCTTTTCTAGGTTTAAATCCTGGGGTTTTGTTTTAGACTTGGGTACCCAAGCGGACAACTGGGGCCGAAGAGGGGGCGACGTACCGGGAGCAGTGAAGTCTACCCGGCCTTGTCGCTTGCCCAGCCTCGTTCTATTTAGTATAATTTCTACAGAAAAAGCGGGTCACGCGAACGTGTGCACCATTTTCAGAAGACTCATAGGGGGTGGCGTAAGAAGACAGTTATATACAATTCAAACAATATTAAAGCGGTAAACAGATAGTATTTAGCACAAAAGGTTCACAGATTACAGTAATATCAACAATAAATAAAGCCAAGCAAAATCATATTAATAAGCTCGAATTCTAAACCCTAAACCAGAGATTCTGGGTTCGATCCCCAGCAGGCTCGCCAGAGTTGTCACACCTACTTTTTTCACTACCCCCCAAAAGGGATATAAGAGAGTTTTTCCAATTAAAGGACAATCGAAACGGGATTAATTATTTAAAATTCAGAGTCGCCACGTGCGATAATTTATGGTGTCCCAAGTCACCGGTTTAAAATCCCAAATTGAGGAAAGTTGACTCTATTTACGGTCCGCGAACACAGAAATCCGAGTAAGAAATTCTGTTAACCCAGGAGAAGGTGTTAGGCATTCCCGAGTTCCGTGGTTCTAGCACGGTCGCTTTGATCATACTTGGCTTAAACAAATTGTCTAATTACTCATTTTAGAACATATGTGCATTTGCCTCTTTTAATTAAGAAATTATCTTGAAACAGGTCATGCGTACGTGTACCCATTTGTTTGGCTCGTTAAAAATCATGTCACGCGAACGTGTCCACAATTAATAACGCTTTATTATTATTAAGAAAGTTTGGTCGAAGTTGCGCGAACGCATACCTCGATTTATTTTTTTAAAGAATCGTAATTATATCACAGGAACGTGTACACAATCACGATGATTGACTAATTAATAGCACCTACAACGTACTAGCGATCATTCATGACAATTCAAACAAAAAAAAGCCCAGCATTCCTCAAAGATATTATATATGCTAAATTATAACAAGTCATGTAATACAGTAATTCAACTGCTATTAGTTGACTTTTGCTATATCATAAATTCCACTGACACCGATGTGGGATTGAATTCTAATTATATATTTTCCAAATCATATAATGAGACATAAATTTCTTTCAACTCCATCATTTATTTGTTTGATATGGCAATTCCACTTATTCTTGCCTCTTCTGGTGGAGTTCCCATCTCCAAATTAAATAATACGAATAGTAATTACATGACCTCTAGATTCACTCGCTATATAAACAACGTAGAAATTTTCATATACCTCACAACTAACTTCAAATATTCTCTAGCACTTCATATCTTTAGCCAACACAGTAGTTCCTCTCTGGTTATTCCATTAGAATTAAGCAAGAAGATCACTCCCGGCCATAGAAAACTAATACTCCTATGATTCAATCAAGAACTAAAAGGGCATTTCACCAGCATCAAATCCTTAAGCAACAGAAGCCATATGGCAGATCAAATCAATCACACGAGGGCTGTAACCCCTTTCATTGTCATACCACAACACAAGTTTCACAAAGTTCTTGCTCAAGGCAATTCCAGCATTGGCATCGAAAATGCTTGATCTGCTCTCACCAACAAAGTCTGTGGAATACTCCGAAACCATTACGAAAGAATAGAGGATTTCTAAGTATTACTTAGTCAAATTCTATCCCAAATATAATGAAACTAAATCCAACATAAATTCAAGACAATAAAACTATAGACATTCAGCTCCAAATTCAACTAACAAACAAGAACAGGTCAGCCACATATTTCAATCAGAATCACGAGAGTAACATCACAAACAACAAAGAAAAGGCAGAAAGAGGGACCTGAATCATTTTCAAACGTATTTGAATCTCCGACGATTCCAACTTACTACTGAGGATTCCGATGATTGAACTCGATCGAAAAACAAGCACAACAATAGAAACTTCGGCAGAAACTACAAACGGCAACCTCGAGCGGCAACTCGAACGATCAACTACCCGTTTCACCTCCACTCCATTCGGAAACCAAAACCAAAAGAGACAGCCTAGATTTCATTATGCATCTCAAGTTTGATTTTTCTTTAGTTCTTTTTGGTCCAGATTTTCTTTTGTTTTTGAACAAATTCTTTTTTATATGTGAGATTTGTAACATATTATACCAAAAACGTTATCTTAGCCTTGGATCTAATATAGAAATGGCAGCTTCATCTATGTTTGTAAACGTCCAGAAAATGTGAGATGAAGCAGTGAAATTTGTTGCTCATTTCCGTTCTCCTTTGGTTCTTGTTCATTCTCCTGTTCCTCTTAAGCTTTCATGTATTTTTTTTTCAGATAACGCCGGCGGCGATGGTGGGCTGCTGATGTTTTTCCGGTGAGTCGAGTGACTGGCGGAGGCGGCTGGTTTGTGTATAGGTGATGGGTCTGGAGAAGATGGCTGGCTTCTCTCTTGTTAATGGCTGCTGAAGAAGATGAAGGACATGGGAGGGGTCCGTGTATTATGGTCAACAACGGCGGATGTCTCTTATCTTCTTTTTTTGCGTATTTTTTTTTTAAGCATTACTTTATATATAGAGTCTAGGTTTAGGTGTATTTTTGTGTATTTTGTCAATTAGTCCCTAGGTCTTTTGTGTTAAGTCCTTAGAGTCTTTTTTATTTGTTTTTATTCCAAAGAAGAGTCTAGAAGGGTCCTTAGGCTTAATAGACTAATCTGAATTGGGCCAAGAATTGGGCTCTAAAACTCTTAAAATTGTGATCCAACACTTTAATTGACTCCTTTTAAAATAAGATAAAAATACTACACAATCAAAAAACTAACATGAAACTATTATATATTTTTTGTATTTTCAAGATTATGTAAAGATAAAAATAAGGTACTATTTTTTGTATTTTTTTTTATGAAAGGTACATAAAATAAAAATATTTTTTGTAATTTTCATTTTCTTGTAGTAAAATAAAGTAAAAGAGTAAAAATGAGTTGAAATAGCTATATTGGGCCTAAATTAAATATTCACGTGCTAAAATATGAAACATCTTTGGGAGAGTCAAAAATCACATGTCTACAGCAGATATTTTGGATGAAGATATTTTATTGAAAAAAAATAAGAAAAATAAAAAAGACTAAAAAAAAAGACTAAAAAAAAAAAGAGGGATTGTTCGCCAGTTACAAAACAAAGCTCTAGAGCTGAAGTTTGTCAGTTACAAAACAAAAACTTCAGTTCTAGAGCTGAAGTTCGCCAGTCACAAAACAAAACTTCAGCTCTAGAGAGCTGAAGTTCGCCAGTCACAAAACAAAAACTTCAGCTCTAGAGCTGAAGTTCGCCAGTTACTATATTAGTGAAAATTAGACTCGCCATATGGGTCTATTAAATGACGACACATGTTAGTAAAGTTTGAAGAAAAGTGAAGAATGACATGTAAAGATGATATGTGAAACACCCCCGGGAACGAACATACTCATATCGTGCTTGTTAGCCCCGAAACTGATTATCATGAAATAGCCCAGATCAGGCGCGGAAGAATATCTCATAATTACAAATGAGGAAGGAATAAATTAATCCCGGATTGTATTGGATTTACCATCATTATACCATCAGTTACAAATAAATTATTAATAAATGCAATAAATGATTGTAACGGTCAGAACAAAGCAATAAATTACGAGATTGACTCAACAGGCACAAGATTGACTCAACAGACACGTGATTGACTCAACAGACATGTGATTGACTCAAAAGGCACGGGATTGACTCAACAGGCACGAGATTGACTCAACAGACACGAGATTGACTCATTAATTACGGAATTAATTCATCAGTTATGGAATTAACTCATCAGTTATGGAATTAACTCATCAGTTACGGAATTCCAGCATTTACACAGTTGTTACAAGTCTTCCAAAAGTAATGGATGGATTGAGTAAATGCTCATAATGGACCCATAATTCAAGGATAGTTACTTAGATTTAGCCCTATAAATAGACATACTTTTACCACCATAAGGGGAATCTAATTTTTTTCTCTATAATTCTATACATTATAATTCATAGCATCTTGCTCCCAAGTTAGCCATAATTCGGCCCTTCAAACTCTGTTCGGCTCATTATCCTATCAAGGATCATTCAATAAGAATTCTTTCTTCTCTGCTTTATTTTTATTATATTATCTGTTATTGAATTTATTTTTCACTTCTCTATCACATTGTATTAATAAAATTTTATATCTTTCGGATTGAATCGGTTGCTTGTGGCCCGTCATATAAAATTATTGCTTTGACCTTGAAAACTATTTTTTGGGTTAAACAGTTTGGTTCCGTTACCGGGAACTCAAGCAAATTTGCTATTCATCCAAAGATAGTAACAATTTTTGTTAATATTCGCTTGTTTTCAGTTTAAACCTTCATCGTGGCCGAAATTTACAAATCAACATAGTTGAGGACAACCAAGTTGGAGATGGTGTACCATGCAAAATAAAAAGGGAAGAATAGCCATGATAATGATACGTAAGTAACAAGCAGAGAAAAATAGAGAATGTACATCGATATATTGGTACCGCAACTATCTGTACCAGAACTGATTATAACGGATTTGTACGAAACAGTTCCGGAACAGGAGGTTTAGATACATGGGGAAATTTTAATTTGCAAAATTTAGTTCTAACCTTACAGAAACAGATCAAGGAACAGAACGAGCGGATAGAACACCTCCGAGAATTCCTATCTATCCTGCAAGAATGATATGCATAATCGTTGCAGCACCAGAATTTAAACAGAAGAAGACACGGTAAGTCGAATCGACACTAATAAGTGTCCAAAAACAGGTTCGAAAACCAAACCGAGGTGATTCCGGATATGATTGAAGGAGTCAGAAGAATAATGTCGGACCTTCCCGGAACTGAGGAGTAAAATTTATATTCGATGTAATACAAAGCTTCGAATAGAGGAAGACACGTTCATTCAATTGAAAGTCAAAAACAAGTCCGGATATCAAGTGGATGTGATTCTTGGGTGATTCGAATCTAAATGCAAAAATCTAAAAAACAGGTCCGAGCAAAGAAATACGAGATTTTCTTCACGGGCTAAATAAGATCCGGATCTACCCGAACAGGCAAGGAATTACCTTGCTAAATTGTAAAATTTCACAGGAGAAGAATGAAGATTAGGAAGAGCATGGGTAAAACACCCACGAGATTGCTTACAAAGATACCACACCTAACAACTGAAAAAGAAGAGATAGTTGTAGGATGTAATAGACACGAGGAAGGAAGGTTCATTAATAACCTTGGACAATTATACAAATATTTTTGGAAGTAATTATTGAACTGAAGGCGTCAGAAGCCACGAGGTCAAATGCTGAAGAACTAAAAATTATCATTGACTTCCCAAATAGGAAGGTTTACGTTGGTCGAGACTCGACACCGAATTTAAAGGTAAGGTGATTAAACTTTTACATGCTAACAAAAATTGCTTTACTTGCCTTCATGCTAACATAGCAGGTGTACCACCGGAGGAAAAGTTTATATGCTCAATATTGACCCGCGGTATAATCCGGCCAAGCAAAAGAAGAAACTAGAGTCAAATTATAAATGATAAAGTTACAGATCTTCGAAAGATCGATTTAGTTTGAAAAGTCGAATCATTCAAACTTGCTATCTAACAACAACGCATCATTACTTTCAAAATTCCGAGGAGAAAGATGATTGCCAGTACACCAAATTGTCTCGAATGTCTCGGTAAATGCAATTTTAATTCAAGAAGATAAAGGTACACATTCTCCTATCTATTATAACATGCTCTTAGATACGAAAACTACATATCTACATTTTGATAAGTTGGCATTAATTGTAGTTTCCCTAAATCTAAGGCCTTATTTTCAATGTCATTCAATTCACCTAGTCACTATATTTTCATTACGCAATATTTTTCATAAACATGAACTGTCAGGAAGGCTAGCTAAATGAGTAGTCGAACTAAGTGAATATGATATTGTTTATCAGCCACGTACGACTATAAAATCACAAATTTAGCAGATTTCATGATTAATTTTAGCTCGAACATATTACCCGAACATGTTATTTCTTGGATAATTCTCGGGATCTGGACCTTCTACACAATTAGGTCCACAAGTACTGAACTTCCCGAGTTAGGGGCAATGCTTAATGCCTATCAGGGAAAGTAGTTAGATAATTCATAAAAATTATTTTATTACTAACAACAAAGCCGAGTATGAAACATATGTTACATGGCTTAAATTAGCTTGGGGACTCAGAGCAAAAATATTGATTTAACGATTGATCAAATCCAAGAAAACTATGCAGCCCAAGAAAATTGAGCCGGATGTGTTAGTCTCAAATCTACTGCTGATATCTCTGACTTAGAAAGCAACTCCGACACTTATTGAGAAATATCATTTCCGGATCAAACAGTCTCGGGATCGAGCCATCTCTTTTTTAGGCGAGTCCTGATCTATCATCAATTAGAATGAAAATGAGGTAAGCTTGACTAATTTAATTTGAAATTGGCATAATAAATTCATTTATATTACTTGCAGAATGGGACTTTACCCAAAGATAAGCATGCTCTTGATAACTCTGAGTGCGTCTCATCCCGTACTACCTGCCTTGTTGGAGGAGAATTATATTTGAGAATATTCAAGGCTCCAAAAGCTAATATGCCACATGGACCAAACAAATAAAATATATGATGCAAGAAATTTAAAAATAAAGCAGTGAAAATTACTCCGATAATAAGGCTTCAAATCAAAAACTCATTAAAGTTAGTATGAATAGCTCAAATCAAGATATGACATGATCCTCGACAACATTTTGGAACCTCCGTAGTTCCTGGCTAGAGTACAAAATATTTGATAAAAAGAGCGTCGGTATCGTCCCTATGTTGGAACTGGACCATTTGAAAGTCCATCAATATCGAAATTAACTATCATACCGGGGACTATTACACCGCGGATTGTCAAATTATGATCCCAGTGTTTGAGTTCTCAAATCTCAAAACTCAAACACTAGGGAGATTACTCATACTTGAAGATTAGTCAATTTGACCTGACATTATTTACCAGCTCAACTCAGTTAGTTGTATTACTCATATCAAGCATAAACACTTCAAACAGTGTTGGATGAGTTCTTCAAAAATACATATACTACACGTACACAAAAAGGACCAAGAACTCCATGTCAAAGTCAAGAATCCCACGATAAAAAACGAGAGTGTTACATCTAAGTCAAGATAAATGTATGCAAATAAGCCACCAGAATAAAGTTCACTTTGAACAAACACGCGATTTATATTCGGTCCAACAACGACCATTCAAGCTAAATATCTAAGCCTTTCTTAATGGCTAATTGTATTATGACTCGGATCGATTATCCCGTAAATCTCAAATATTATTTCGGACATGTGTCCCTCTCTACTTGGAAGTATGTTCATATACTCCAATTTAGATTCAAAATCCAATCAGATTAAATGTCTCTTCAGGACAAATCTACTAAGATATATATTTATTTGGGATCAATACTCCCTCAAACTCAATGTCTTACCGGGGTCAATACTCCCATAAATTTTAATGGGGTCAATACTCTTGTAAATCCTACCGGGATTAATATTCCCTCAGACTAAAAGTCTACTCGGATCAATCGATCCTATTTTACGCCTGAATGAAAAGGAGACGTCCTCTTCATAGCGTCTAAAGTATATAAAAGAGCCCTCTTTTATATAAAAGTTAGACACCCAAAGGTGCAACATTA